GTGTATATATTGTTGCTTGCTTAAGAGGTGAATGGAGGCATCTTTTTATTATTTTTTAGATCTTTCCCTTCCCTGTTATCCTTTGTATGTCATTTCTGAACTAGAGATATGGAAGTCATTTGATTTTTTTTTTTTTTTTTTTTTTTTTTTTTTTTTTTTTTTTTTCAGGCACTCTTGTTAGTAATAGTATGGAGTTATCTTTAATGAAATTCCCAAACAAAATTAATGGATAAATTATAAGATCAATCATAAGATAGGTGACTAACATGCACTGTTCTTATAAGAATGCATAGTTGTATTTATCATTCTTATGGTATATGGATGAAATAAAAGAATCAAAAGGCTTTAATAATTCAAAGGAAACCTGATGCAGAGTCCTTCAAAGACGCCTTTTTTTTTTTTTTTTTTTTTTTTTTTTTTTTTTTTCATGAAATAGATAAATTCATGCGTGCGTGTGTGTGCAGGTGCTTGCATGCATGGTGAGCACTGGCTACACACACAAACATATACACAGCTCTTTCTTTTTCATTCTTTTTTTCTTTCTTTAGTTTAGCTAAATTCATGAAAATATTGGCTCAGGATATAATTTAAGGGAAAATTACCCGTGCTTCTTTATCATTTTCATTTTAAAGAGAACAGAACATTATATTTAGAATTATGTAGAAAAAATGTACAAAATTCTTAGAACTAACAGGAATAAGTTGATAAACAACTTGTATCCTTAAAAATATATATTCTTGTAATCATTTGCACACATTTCTTTTGTCTCCTACTCAATAATGTATATTATGTATTGACTAGCAGCTGCTACATCCAACTCTGTACCACAAATATTTCAGGTTGTTAAAAGATTCTGAGAGTACACCAACTGCAATGGTTCATAATGAAAAAGATGGAGTCGCTAATGGAAAATGTGACACTGATGACCCTCAAGCATCAATGGCAAGCCCTGTCAAACGCCGAAAGCAAGCTCAGAGCAGGGCCTGGGAGTGGGAGGAAGTGGAGATCGACATCGGTTGGGGGAATCTGCGAGGGAAGGCTAGAGGCACAGGACCAAGGCTCATGCTAGGTATGAGGTGCACAATCTCTCACACTTGCTGTTTTTTTCAAAACTCTTTATAATTGTTGTTTATCTCTTCTCCTGCACACTTTTTTTGGGGGGGCTTTCTTTTTTCCTCACTTCCATTACTATTCACTTCTTGCCTCTCAGGGTGGTTGTAAAAAGTTACAGGGATATTTATTTCTGATAGTTGTGTGTGTATTCTTTACATATTAAGACTCTAATACTCAGATAAATGTCAAGTGTATGTGCAACATACACACACATTCATCCATGCATACATATATGCATTTATCAATGTACATATACATATAGAGAGAGTAAGATATTAAATTTTTCTTTCCCAGGTGTTCATGGCTGGCTAGATAATGCCAACACATTTGACCTCATTGCACCCACAATACCTGATGATGTGAGATTCATATCACTGGACCTCCCTGGGCATGGGCTCTCTGACCACTTCCCTCCTGGCTTCATCTATGACCCAAGGGGGTATGCAGGGGCCATAAAGAAAGCTGTGACAGTCCTTGGGTGGAAGCGCTTTATTTACCTCGGACACAGCATGGGTGCAGTGGTAGGCATCCTCTACACCTCCATTTTCCCTGAGGATGTAGAGGCCTTCATCTCAATCGACATAATTAAGACATGGTCACTCAAGCCAGAGAAATATGCATCAGAACTGAAAAAGTACTATATGTCTTACTTTGATAATGAAACCAAGTCTAAGCAGCCACCACTGGTCTACCAAGAGGAAGAGCTCCTGCAGAAGACCATCGATGGCAGCAAGTCACTCAACGAGGAAGGTGCTAAAATTCTGCTCAAACGCGGGGCAAAGAAAGCCGAGGATGGGAAGGGGCTGATCCTGAGGAGGGACCTAAGAGCTAAGGCTTTCTTCATTGGTTTCCTTCCCTTTGATGCTTGGGTGGAAATGGCCACTTCTATTAAGTGTCCATTACTCTTCCTAAAGGTAATTACAGAGAATTTATTGATATTAACCCTTTATCGGGCAAGTGACCATATATGATCACTTAAATACATATATATATATGTATGAGGTATTTAAAATGTGTGCCCGGTAAAGGGTTAACTGTCAATCATATTCCAGATGAACTGTATAGTGGGAAATGTAGGAAGAGATAACAGAAATTAGATTTTAGATGAATAATAGGGTCATTAGTTCATGTTAAATTGTTAAAAATAAGGAGATATGTCTTGAGACAATTGTATTAAACTTTTCCATTGTTTTACAGGCCACAGATGGGCACTATTACGAGTCCAAGGACAAGTATGAAGTTATGCGGTCAGCCTTCAACCAGGACTGCAAGCATTTCTCTTACCACGAAATAGCAGGGAAACATCACATACATCTGACTAATCCAGATGAAGTTGGAGAATATGTTTTATCTTTTCTGAAGGAATGCATGTCCTTAAAAATTTCCGAAGAAGCTCAGAGTTCCAGCTGATGAAGTTACTAGTCTGCAAGAGAGCTGTATGTCGAATGTCTTATGATTATTTATATATTTTTCTAGATATTTATATATTTGACATCACATAAAATGTGATTGTTTATGGAAAGAGGTTGTGCCACATTGATGATCATTAGCAGCACTGTAAGGAAGTTACAGAATGAATGAGATTTTACTGAATCTTATGGCACCAAAAGGTCTACACATTGTTTAATGTAATACTTTTTAATGCATTTTACTCTTTATGTTGATCTCAGGTTGAGAAAGTAAATATAATTCATGCATTATTATAATTGTTTATAATAGGATTATATTGATATGTATTATTTTTTGATATGTAAACAAGGTATTTGTTCTCTTTTATATTTTGGGATGCAATTTCTAATTGAAAATTTTAGGAAGAGGTTTCTAATTGAAAGAAAGGAATACTATGGCATACATATTTATCCTTACACAATTCTTTGTAAGTGCACATTAAATAGACTATAACATTTAACAGTCAGTTATTAGCATAATATAAATGCACCAAATGATAGAAGCCATACATAATGTAGTAGACAATATTATCGAAATAACCAGCACCAACTCGTATACCATACATAATCTTTCCTGCAGTGGTGTAGATGAACGTTAGAGGCCAAAACACACTGTTTTATGAAATATATTTATAGTTTGTGTGCAGTTGGTGCAGAAAGCATCTTCTGTGATATTTATTATGTATGTACACTGCTAATAAAGGAGTAGTTTAGAATAATTTTTGCTTGACCCAGTTTAGATTACAATAGTTTACTTGGAAGAGCCTCCACAACTTGTCTTTTCAGCATGCAGTAATTATTTTTATAAAGTTTCTCCCCTTATTTATTTCATTCCATGAGTAAAATTGCAGTCAATTTTTTGAAAATTAGATTGGAACTGCTTGGTGACAGAGTATCCAGGCATGGATTGTAAATAAAATAAAACAATTGTTATAAAAATATGTAAATATAACTAGTGAAATGTAAATCAAGTGAACTACAGTAAGCATAAAAGGATTCTATGTATGTTAATAACAATAAGACACTTCATTAAATCTCTGAAAATGTAATAACTGTCAGTTGTAGCTACAGCAGTTTACAGTTGTTGCCAAAAATAGTATTTTCGGTTAGAGAACGAAGCAGAAAAAAATATTGGGCTACTAGTAATTGCCTTTCAATATCAATGAATCAATTTTTTTCTTCTTAATTATTATCACATGTATTCTGACTCAGTTGTTCTTACTCCTAACATTTAAAATTTGTGAAGTTCACACAACTAAGCTATGGAATTTAAAAAATCACAAAGATTTAAAATAAGGAGAATGAATCTTTTGTCTATGGATCAACAATAAAAGTAAATGTTCATTTTTTAATATTTTTATGAACTCCACTTGATACCACAACGCATAGGACATATGAAATGGAAGTAAAACTACAAACAGAAAAATAGGAAAACCTACTTTTATGCCAAGGGCCTTTTTGCTCTTTTGAACCATTCCTTACCATGCTTGCTCTCCTGCACATGCCAAGAATGAAAATTGGATAGAGTTAGCTAATGATCACCTTTTATAAACAATTTGTGTAACATGATAAGTAACATACTTTCTTTTTTCATGTTTTATTATTTTATTTATTATTATTTTTTGGGGGGAGGGGGGGTGTGTGTGTGTGTGTGTGTGTGTGTGTCGTGTGTGTGTGTGTGTGTGCATGTGTCAGTGTGAGTGAGGGTAGTGTGTCAGTGTGAGTGAGGGTGTGTGTGTGTGCGTGTGCGTGTTGGTGGGAGTGAGGGTGTGCTTGTGCATGTGTGTGTGTGTTGTGTGTGTGCATGTGTGGGTGTGTGTGTGTGTGCAAATGAGCATGTGTGTGGTGTGTACTTGTATGTTGTGTTGTGCAATGTGTGCTGTGTGTGTGTGGTGTGCAAATGTGCATGTGTGTGTGTGTGTGCAAATGTGCATGTGTGTGGGTGTGTACTTGTGTGTGGGTGTGGGGGGGGGGCATAATTTCATATTCTCCTCCTTTGGTTCAGTGGATCACAAAGATCATCATTAATACTAATACATTCACCTAAAACATCCCATGTGGAATAACTCATTTTACACTGATACATTACTTGGCTGCAATAGAAACAAACAAAACATTTAGAAGTACATGCATACTTTCATTGATCTCCTCATGAATATAGAAGTATGTGTACTTCAATATCGTTGTCAGTAAAGATGGGAGTTAATGCCCAGAACCAGTAATAGTGTGAAAAAGCCTTCAGCAGAATCATGTTTCCTCTATCCCTAATTGTTCTGTTTAGTACTTTTTCATTATGAATACTTTACAATTGAAACATGCAAGTCAAAGTGGTCCCATTTCTAAGTGGACATAAGGGACACATCCATAAAGAAACACACATTCTAAGCTATGGGATGATGTAGCAGGTTCGCCAACCAGGTTATCATAAAGTTTTTAATTGTGGCAATGTCTATCTAATTTTTTTTTTTCCCTTGTTGGGCCTCACTTAACCACATCAATTTATATAATCAATGCTTGTAATATAATAAATAATCTCCTTCACATAGTAACATGTATATCCACAACAATACCTTTTCAACGTACTACATATTAGAGTAACATACTCTTTCTTAATCCTTTCAATAGACTCCCGTGTCTCTCTTCCAGCACAGCATCCACTTTGCTCACTCTGCTAACTAAACCAGATTCATCCAGCCCTCATTCATTCCCTCACAACTCACACATGAAATCCAAGTTCTTGTATTCTCACTCATCTCGATCACCTCAGGGTTGGCTGACTTGGTTGCCCCACTTCAGTCTACTGAAAATCATAACTTCACAATGACAAAGTTTTTTATGGTAATGATCTTCAAATTGCCATTATAACATACTACCTGGGAACAAAATGAAATGTGTTTGTATCTCTTTATTAAGAAAACTACACTTACAGTGGGAAAATTAAAACATTTCATATCACAGATTGAACAACAATGTAACATTCAAAACTATGTACTAGATGTTTTAAGCAGTACCTTAATTATCTAAGTCATTCACCTTTCAATGCAGAAGTATTCCTTCATAAGGTCTAACTCTTCACTGACCAACACAAACAGAACAGACGTTTCCATACTATGTTAGACGTATCTCAAGCATCACAAATACTAAAGTGTTTGAATGTTTTTTTTTGTTTTGTTTTTTCATTTTTCCTCAGTAAAGAAAAAATATACTTATAATTTCACATATTGCAAAATTACTCACATACTCAGTTGCTACACACTATATATATATTATATATATATATATATATAATATATATATATATATATATATATATATATATATATATATATATACATATATAATATATACATATATAATATATATATACATATATACATATATACATATACATATATACATATATATATACATATTATATACATATATATATACATATAATATACATATATATATACATATATATATGATACATATACTATACATACATATATACATATATATATACATATATATACATGTGTATGTATGTGTGTGTGTGTATGTGTGTGTGTGTGTGTGTTGTGTGTGTGTGTGTGTGTGTGTGTGTGTGTGTGTGTGTGTGTGTGTGTGTGTGTGTGTGTGTGTGTGTGTGTGTGTGTGTGTGTGTGTATGTGATGTATGTATGTATGTATGTATGTATGTATGTATGTATGTATGTATGTATGTATGTATGTATGTATGTATGCATGTATGTATGCATGTATGATGTATGTATGCATGTATGCATGTATGCATGTATGTATGTATGTGTATGCATGTATGTGTATATATGTATGTATATATATTATATATATATATGTATATATATATATATATATATATATATATATATGTATATATATATATATATAATATATATATATATATATATATATATATATATATATATATATATATATATATATATAATATATATATATATATATATATATATTATATATATATATATATATATATATATATATATATATATATATATATATATATATATATATATATATATATATATATATATATATATATATATATATATGCATGCTGAAGTACTTAATAAATAATTATTCTATTTAATGCTGTATGCTACTCTTCATCATACACAAGAAAAAAGCTATACAGCCTTATAGAGCAGCAAATTATCAGAACTTTATGCTAGAAGCCTTTTCAATTACAATATCAAATACCCAAAGGAGGAAGTGAGGGTTGGGGAGGAGGGAGGGAGGGGAGGGAGGGAGGGAGGAGGAGGAGGAGGGAAGGAAGGAAGGAAGGAAGGAAGGAAGGAAGGAAGGAAGGAAGGAAGGAAAGAAGGAAGAAAGGAAGGAAGGGTGGGGGAGAGGGAGGGAGGTGAGAGCAACAGCTAGTGAGTGAGTGAGTGAGTGAGTGAGTGAGTGAGTGAGTGAGTGAGAGTGAGTGAGTGAGAGTGAGTGAGTGAGTGAGTGAGTGAGTGAGAGTGAGTGAGTCTGCGAGCAGGAGTGAGTCAGTGAGTAGGAGTGAGTGAGAGCATGAGTAAGTGACAGAGTGAGCGAGGGCAATGGGACGAGTGTGGGAGTGGGAGTGGGTATGCATTCAACCTGACATTTTAAATCTTCATATCCTTTTCTCCCTTCATTTAGTAAAAACAATCTATCAGCAATTATCATCACCATCCATACAGTCCCATCACCAAATCCACATTATTTCCCCTTCACCTTCCCTTTCATCTTTAGAGCAAAATCATGAAGAAATAAAAAAAAAAAGTTGAACACAAATAGTTATTAAAATGACCCGAGATCTATGCTTTATTTCTACACAGCTGGAAGTATTTTCGTCAATGAAACATTTCACTCAACTGCTTGATGAAAAAGATAAATAATAATAATAAAGTAAAAAAGTAGTCTTTCACTTAGGAAATCACCACTTGATGATTTCTTTGGGCAATACATCACTTAAATAAGTGATGTATCCTGATAAATTGCTTCACCAAAATTTACTTATCAGAGCACTTGCTGTATTGTATCTACACTTTTAGTCAAACTAAGGACAGTTTGAATCTGAAGGTCGCTTTTCTTTATGTTTCAAAGCAACTGACATACACAAAATTCACTGAATAAAGATGTGGCTGACACTTCAATAGTTTCCATGTTGATGTATCACTTTCAGTATCAACACTCCTATTTTCACAAGTTCAGAAATATATTTTAGTAAACATATACACCGTCACCTCCACTTTTCTTATTTTATAAAAAATGGTAATGTTCATAATGCATGAAACAAACACAAAAATCTTCATAAAAATATCTGGAATTAAGGGTGAATATTTGAGCTTTTGTAACACAGACCACTGTAAATCAATGATTGTGGAGCAGAGATTTTAAAATATTCCTCCAATGTCTCAAATATATTTACCAAAAAAGTCAAGCCATCATAAAAAAAAAGAAAAAAAAGAAAAGAAAAGAAAAAAAAATCGTAACATCAGTGTTTTAAGACTTGACCTGAAGCATCAGATTTTTGTCTTCGTAAAGCCATGTTACAAATCTTTGAAAAAAATATTCTACACAAACTAGCAAAATTCAGAATCTAGCCATAAGTTACATGACCATAAATACTTTAAAAAATGACAGTAACAAAATTTACGAGAACAATTCCTCCTATCAAGACATAACATTTACACAACTTTGCCACAAAACCTTTTCCCTTATTTGTTGCTGACCACATTACTTTTTTTTCCAGAAATGCACACCAATAACTTTACTCATTCTCTTAATGTTCCGATAAAAAGCTGCTCATACAGAGGGGTCAGCAACACTGGGAAAGACTGCTTCTTCAGTGCATTACCTATAGACTCTCCTCTGACTGTTAGAGGGAAAAGTCCCGTGAATAGGATACAGTTAATAACTAACTTTCCATCAATTTTTCATGCTCTACACTGGATTACCGTTAGATTAAATCTTTCATATCTCTGCAAAAATTTCCTTTAATAATACAACTTTCTCACAAAAAATATATTTTCATAAACCCAAGCATAAGATATTTGCTTATCAGTACTCTGTGATAATAAGACTCTTTGTCATAATGTTATTAAAACAATAATTATTTTCATTACAAATTTACCAAACCATCATCAATTTCCTGGATATATTAACTGGTATTCATAAGAGGCAAACCTATATACATCCACATCACTCACTCTATGATAAAAAGATAGAGAAGTTGAAAATAAAAGTAACTTCATGGTCTCCTCTGGAAGTCAGAACCCAAACCACATCATATCATATGACTTCACAGAAAATTAACTAAACAAAACTCTATCTCACGAACAGAACATTTATGAAAGGTAATAGTGAAACCCAAAAGACAATAAGTACAAAACTTGTTCAGAATGTAGTTATAGGCTTTATTTTAGCACCTGCATAATATTAAAAGAAAAAAATTTCAATACAATATATTTCATGTCATAATTTTCAAAAAAATAAAAAAATAAAAAATCAAAAAATCAAAAAAAATCAGCCTACCTAAATTACCTTTAAATATGCTTTCTATAGAGCCTACAGGCAGACAGTTTTACATTATATGAGTAAAAAAAAAAAATTGCTTTTCCCTAAAATTTTCCACAGGGCGTAATATTTTGCATCTATAAGATATCCAAATAATGCAACTGCACTTTTTTTATTATTTCTGAGGATATCTTTGCTTTATCATTACAATTTTAAGCAACTCTTTCTAAATATTCCTAAAAAAATTATAATATTTTTGCTATCTGAAAATTTAAAGAGCTAAGTAAGAAAATTGTCAACACAAATACTTCCACATCACAATAGAAAAAATAATAATCTCCAGGGCTTCTCCTCCTAATGCAATACTTATTAATCCACATTACATTTTGTACAGTTCATATAATTACATATACAGCAAAGTTTCTCACTCACTACCCTTCTCCCTTTCCCTGCACATCATGGAAATCGATCTTGGTGCTGCAACACTAAGCAATGCAGGACATTGATACACAGACCCAGCAGGAGAATCCATAGCGGCAACAGAACGTGGTAGGATGTAATTCCTGCATCAGGGTTCTGCTGCTTTAGGCACAGGGCCACCATAAATGCCATTTTGAGAATGACAGCTAGCAGGGGCCAGACCCGCTTCAGGATGGCTGAGAGACGCTGCCTCGCCGTGCGGTGGTGTGAGCCGCCTGACACCCCAACAGCCGTGCGGCATTCATTGATCATGTGGATGCTAATGTATATGAGAAGGAGTGCATCATAGAACCACATAGGGATAAAGACAATGAACCAATTCCACTGGGTTCTGTGGTCAAGCCGGAGTGCAAGCAGGATGAGAAAGACCAGGAGGAGGAACCAGGTGAATAATGCACGGTGTAGCATTGCCATGGCTGAGGTAATTCCGTGTCCACCTGGATCGCTGCCACACTGATGAGACTCTTCTCCTCTTGGTCTTTTACAAATGACTGTAGAAATCTCCCTAACAATGCTTTATCTTTCTGCTGCCTTAAAAACGAACCACTTTCTTAGACTGGAGAACACAACTCTACTCTCATACCCCACAAAATGCACAACATTCCATCCTAGAACATGGATAAGGAGTAGGAATCCTCAGACCTTTTTTCTTTTTCATAATTTAGATGCGTCTTCTTGTTCAGGCCCTCCTTTTCCGTGTTAAGATGATGCTACTACTATGTTTGTCGTCCCTTTTGTCCCACGAGCAGTGGCCTGTACGAGTGTAACGTGCCGGTCCAACGTTTACAATCTGCAAAAGAAAATGTGTGAAATTTTGATAGAACTGCAAGACTTTGTATGGGGGGTGGGGGTGAGAGATATGGATGAATGTGCATATGGATGCTTATAGGTATGTGCCCCTTCATACTTTTTTGTACACTTTTCTTGAAAGTTTTTTCTCCTTAATGATGTAAGTATTCATAGAATTTCAAGGCACTTGCCACTGCATATTTGGCACTCCTCATTACTATTCATATCAATTCTTATAGTTCCTAATTTACCTATATACAGTATGAGTTTTAAAAAATCATGAATATTTTAATCTGAAGCACATGTAAAAGTGTGTAAGCAGATGACAAAGGTAAAATTGTACAAAGGCAATGAAAAAGACAGAAAATACCTGTAACGCAGGGCAGTGGCTCATGAGAAGGGTAAGGTCTTGCCGAGTTAGCCAGGCACCACAACCCTCAAGAACCACCTCCTCCAAGACAGGCAGGTGCTTCTCCAATCGGAAAAATGGAGACGTCACCACTACCATACGGTTCTGAAAAAGGGTCCTGTATCGGTGAATGAACGAGTAACATTTCTTACAGTCTGAGTGTATACTGATAAATAGTCTTAAATGCATAGGAGGAGAAAAGTTACATTAAAACTAAGGACAAGTGCCTAGCTTTATATATTGATCTGTAGATATGTGAGGACTCCTACATTGTGCATAACCTGCACAATATAATCTGTATTATGTTTACTCTGTATTTCTCTGTATATTGTGTGTATGCATAACCTTGCCAATGTAAGAAGTTTCCTTTCATAGATGTAGCTCCCCACATTTGTACCATTATTGTATATGATGTGGCAACATTGTCTTTGGCCACATGACCTAGAAGAATTGCCTGTGACCGGGATTTCCCGCCAAATCTCAGTCTCTCAGCAGTGGTCAAAAGGCACAGAAGACAACAACCCCTATTCTGTAACTCCTTGGAATAGAACTTACAAAATTCAAGCTTGGTGTTTCCTTTTCCTGCTGACTACAAGGAATGCCCCCACAACTTCAGAAGAAACATACATGGTGCAGTGTTTCTAACTGATCCATGTTTTCTCATTACAACTAGAAAACACTTCGTCGATATAAAAAAATATATAAAATATGATACACACATTTTATTCATTAACTCTATCATTCTTAGAAAGGTGAGCCTGCTCTGAGTTAACCCCTACGATCCAGATGACATTGTAGTCCCATCATGGAAAAATCTGGTTGTGGACCTGGTGAAGCAAACTTCCTGTCATGAGGAAAGGCCAGGATGACAGAAAAGACTTGCCATGAGTGCACAAACCTATTGAAGTGTGATTGGATTAATTTGGCACTTAGAAGGAGACATCAGCATTATTCCGATTGATAAACAAATGTGGAATGTAACGTGTGTAAGCCATGACTGGAAGAACACCAGATCCAGAAAGGATGCCATTCCATGCTGTGCACCATATTCCTGGCTGCTGTGACCAGTGGCGCAGGTTGTATTACGGAAAATTGAAAATTAAAAAAACAAGATATATGTCACATATAACCAAATGTTCCTTTTTTTTTCTTTTGCACTGAATTATATACTACATAGAGAGATGATATGGAGTCTGAGCAAGGAAAATAAGCTATTACTATCTGGATAAAGCAAATCAAAAGACAAATATGGATACTGGAAAAAAGGCAAAATAGCTAAAAAAGTTTACACAAAATAATTTTGCAAAGGGGAGACACAGAGTCTTGTCATGGGCGTCCATGCATACCTCACCTATGCCCCTCTCACCCAGGATGTTGGCTACTTACATAACCCACTGCCATATTTTCGGCACAATCATTTCCATGACACAACCAGATCCCACGGGTTAATGCACAACACATTTTTTCATTTGATTGGATTTGGCTGCATTCATTGAGAAATAGTTCCTTAAAACTGAGCTTATAGCCTCTTTTTAGCCCCAATACCTAAACATTTATTTATGTCGCAGTCAAGAAGGTAGAGAGTGGGGTAAATTCATTTCTCCCTTGCTTCTAATTTTTCTTTCAACCAGCAGACTCCAGACACACCCCAATTTGTAGCTTCAGTATAGAGCTCCCATCGTATTAAAGAAAAATTACACTATATTTCTGACATACAACATATCAGCCCTGTTTCATCAATGTTTCAAAGAT